GGACAGTTTCCCCTCATTCTAGTTTGTGTACACACACGCGCGTGCACACACATGTATGTTTGTTTGTTATCTTTGTTTTTTGCAGTGCTGGAGATCTAATCCAGGCCTGGAACATGCTAGGGAAGTGCTCTACCACTGAGTTACATCCCAGCCTTCTATATTTTTGTTTTTAAGCTTAATTGCTTTTGAAAGAATGTTATACCATGTGCTTTAAAAAAAAAAAAACTTTATTTATTTATTTATTATGGTGCTGAGGGTCGAACCCAGGACCTTGCGAGTGTGAGGCAAGCCCTCTACTGCTGAGCCATGTGCTTTTAAATAGCACATGCACATGGTACAAAATTCAAAAGGAACAAGTTAAGTCCCATTTCTGCTTCTAGTTACCCATTTTCCTTTCTACAACACTACTTTTTTATATGTCCTCTTAGAGATATCTGACATATGTCCAGTTGTAGGGGTGGCCTTAAGTCTCTCCTCTACTCCCAACAGGTGCTATGCTGTGGGGACTGTTCTCCACTCAACTGTGTCCATTTAACAATCATATTGGGGCCGTGGATGTAGCTTAGTGGTAGAGTGCTTGCCTAGCATGCTCCAGGCCAGGCCTGGGATCTGAGCCCTGGCAATGCCAAAAAAAAAAAAAAAAGTCAACCATTTGTTGAGTGCTATTTTCTAGGATCTATGCTATTTGCTTTATATAGATCTATGGGTGCAAGATTCAGCTCAGTTGGTAGAACCCTGGCCTAGCATGCACCAGGCCCTGTGCTCATTCTTAGCACCGCCAAAATAAACAAAAATAAAAAGCATATTGGAGGGGTAGAGCTGTAGCTAAGTGGTAGAGCACTTGCCTAAAACATGTGAGGCACCAGCTTTGATTCTCAGCACCGCATATAAATAAATAAATAAACAAATGAAATAAAGGTCACACCTATAATCCCAGCGCTTGGGAGGCTGAGGCAGGAGGATCACAGGTTCAAAGCCAACCTCAGCAATGGTGAGATGCTAAGCAACTCAGTGAGATCTTGTCTCTAAATAAAATACAAATAAAAGCATTTTGGACTACTGGACATCATTTCTTTTCAATGTATATAATTCAACCCTGAATAATGTTCTTTTACATTGATTTGATTTTTTTTTTTTTTTTTTTTTTATGGTTCCAGGGATTGAACCCAGGGCCACACATGAGCTAAACATTTGCTCTATCACTGGCTACCTCCCTCAGTCCCTGATGTGTTATTTTATTTAGTTGATGTTCTGTTTATGGATATGGAGGCAAGCTGTTTCCACTCTGCCATTATAAACAATGCTGCAATGAATAATCTTCTATATTATCTTTGGGAAAATGTGAAGTAGAATTGCTAGTATAAAATTTTGATAGATAACACCAAATGGTCTCCACAGGGGTTTACCAATTTTTATTCCTATCAACAATATATAGAAGTAACAGTTTTCCCCCATACTCTTGACAATACAGTATTTTCAAATGTTTTAATCTTTACCAGTCTGAAGGTTAAAAAGTTACATCTTATTATCATTTTATTTTGCCTTTATTTTAAGAGGTTGAATATCTCTTTATGTTCAAAAAGTCATCAAAGTCTTTATGACCTTTTCAAAGTCCATTTGTGTTTTCTCTGTGTGGTCTATTTTGTCTTTTGCCCATAATTCTATAGGATTATGCATTTCCTGCTGATTTGGAAGAGCTGTATGCATATAAAGAGATTAACTCTTTACCTATGATATGTACTAGAAATATATTTTTTCATGTGGCTCTTCTTATGACTTTATTTGGTTTTTATCCTACTTAATGTATCTCTTTTTTCTGAAGTTTCTTTTCTTTAAATTTATTTCATGGCTTCTGGGTTTTATGTCATGCTTCCTCACTCTAAGGTTAAAAAAACCATTTCCAATATTTTCTTCTAGTACTTCAATTTAAAATAAAAATGTAGTTATTTTTGATCTATCTGGAATTTTCTTTCATGCAAGAAATGGGAAAACGAATCCACTTTATTTTTCCCGAAATAGCTCCTAAATTGTCCTTTAAGATTAATAATCTATCTTTTTTCTGGAGAGTTTATTTTTAAAGTAAGAGACAATATTTAAAATGAAGAGGGAAAAAAAAAGAAAAATGGTATCATAAAACCCAGATAAATAACACAGCATTTTTATTAATTAACTGCCTGATGCTGTTCTAGAATACACTTTACTCCAGAGAGCTTTTTCCTTGCTTTTTTTTTTTTTTCCCTAAGTACTGGGGATTGAACCCAAGGGTGCTTTACCATTGAGCTACATCCTCAGCTCTTTTCATTTTTTTATTTTGAGACAGGGTCTCCCTAAGTTGCTAAGGCCAGTTTTGAATTGCGATCCTCCTACCTTAGCCTTCTGAGTCACTAGAACTACAGGTGTGTGCTACCACACCTGGATCTACCATCTTAAATGTATTATTTGTTTTGTTTTTGTTTTTGTAGTACAGGGTATTGAACTCAGGGCTTTGTACTTACTAGGCAGCTAAATCTTCAACCTTTTTTAAATTTATAATTCTATTTTGAGCATGGTCTCACTAAGATGCCAAGGCTAGGCTTGATTTTTTTTTTAATTTATGAATTTGATATTTATAACACTTATTAAATAAGCAGCCATAACATGAAGCGGGGAGTCCTGTAATGCATATATATGGTATCCAAACCTGACACAGAATGAATTCATACAATGGCCTTGAACTTTTGATCCTCCTTCCTCAGCCTCTGGATTAGCTGAGTTTATAGGAATGTGCCACCGCAACCAACTTAAATGTATTGTTTAATAAACATCCAGTAAAATTTGATTTTTTTTTTTTTGTACAGTTCTATTAGTTTAAACAAATGCATAGTATCTTGGCCACCATATTTAAGATAGAGAACAGGCCCATCACTTCTACATACAGACATTTACAGTGGTTCAGCTAACAATTTTTCATCTTCAGGATGGTGCAAAGCAATGCACATTCAGTAGAAACTGTACATGGAATTTTGAATTGGATTTCTTCCTGGACTCGAAATACGCAGCCTCATCTTCTCTCCAGATGCTGGGGAGAATGCCGCTCTGGGTCAGCTGTGTGATCATAAGGGAAACCACTGATGCTCCACAGTGCACTGTATGGCTGTACTGGGTTGCTCAGAAGTTTAGGTGCATTTTCCAGCCCAGAGCAGTGGCCCACACTTATGATCCCTGCTACTTTGGAGGCTGAGGCAGGAGGATCACAAGTTTGAGGTCAGACTGGGTAATTTAGTGAGTGAGACTCTGTTTCAGAATAAAAAGTAAAAGGAGTTGGGAATGTAGCGGTAGTACCCAAGCACCAAAAAAATGGGAAATAAAGAAAAGAAAAATGCATTTTCTACTTATGATATTTTCACCTCGTGGTGGGTTGGTGAGCATGTAGCCTCCTCATACCTAGAACATCTGTGTTCTGTCCTGCTGCTTTCTCCCACAACCCTGCCCCTGATACCCACTGCTATGTTTTCAACCCAAATCCACCCATTCAGAATTTCTGGGACTGGGTCCTCCATCTAGGTGATGAGGGTCCTGCAGGTGATTCTGATTTGAATCAATTGGAAACCATTGCCTGAGAATATTGCTTCATAACTGGCAAGAACTTGGTTCTTGCTTGGTTCCCTGGAGTCTAGACTGTGACCTGTGAGCAGTCAGAGGCCTCAGACTAGTAAAAACAACCCTTCCTGTGTGCTTACTACCTGACAGGCACTGAGTCAAGCACATTTAACATGCTGTCTCTCACTCTTCATAGTAGTTCTGGGAGGTTAAATCTTTCATTCCCATTTTATAGATGAGGCAACTGAGGCTAGAGATAGAGATTAAGTACTTTGCCCAGCTTTACATAGCCAGGAACCAAGATTTTGGAGCCAGGCTAATTTGCAGTGCCCATGATCCTGGCCTTTCCACTGTGTCACCTCTCTCCAATAGGGTGGTTACCTGCCCCCACCATGCCCAGCCTGACAGTGTGACAGTTGTCCATGCTGGCTGTCATGTCCTCAGAAGATTCTCCCAGTACAACTTCTTACTTGATTTGTTGAGCTCCTGGAGCAGGGGTGATTGAGGAGAGGCTAAGGGGACAGAAAGCTGAATGAGGCCAGCTCCTGGAGAGAGCAGGGGAGAGGCCTGGGCCAGGTGGGGCTGCCAGGAGACCTCTGCCTGATTCTGCCTGTCTTTCCTCCCTTTGCACTGGACCGAGCCTCCTGTGTTTCTCTCCATCTGATCTCCTGTTTCCTCCTCTGGCTCTGGAGTTCCTGGCTCCTCTGACTACCTCTTCTTAAGCCCCTACCTCTTCTCTCTCTCACCTTAGCTTGGTAAGAACAAGTGTTCTGGAGGCTGGGTAAGGGGAGACCATTCTGGGTTCTGGTGAATGGGCCCTGGGAGGAGTGGGGGGTAGGGTCTCATAGCCTCCTGTTCTGGAAGAATTCTGTGGAAGGGTTCAAAAACACTCTGAAAAGGTGATCCCTCCAGGGTACTCAACCAGAGGTACTGCCATTCCCTAGCAGGGAATTTGGAAATGGCATCTGGTTTTAAAATTTTGATGGGATTACAGTGTACATACAGACTAGAGCATAGATCATGATTTTCACAAGATGAACATACTCATGTAACCAGAACGAGATCAAGAACTAGAATATTCCCAGCATCCCAGAAGCTCTTCTTCAAGCCCTCCACTAGTTGCTACCCCTGGAGTGAGTGAGTGGGGGCATCTTTTGTTTGTCACAGTTACTTAAGGGTTCTGCTGGCATTTAGTAGGCAAGGTTAAGGGATGCTAAATGCCTTTCAATGCACCATACAGTCCTGAAGCACAAAGAATTGTCCTGCCCAAATGTCCTGTTGAAAAATGCCACGTCTGACAGGTCTGAGCAGTAATGGCCTGCAGTGTGGCAAAGGCCTGGGGACCAAGCGGTGCAGCTGTGTTAGTGGATCAGTAAAGACGGGTTTCACTGTAATAAGCCCACACTGTCACCCCTGCCTAGGCCTCCGGAATGCCCCCCGATGCTGGGCAGTGATCCAGCCCCTGCTGTGTGCTGTGTACATGCCCAAGTGTGAGAATGAACGAGTGGAGCTGCCCAGCCGCACCCTCTGCCAGGCCACCCGAGGCCCGTGTGCCATTGTGGAGCGGGAGCGAGGCTGGCCTGACTTCCTGCGCTGCACCCCTGACCACTTCCCTGAAGGCTGCCCGGTGAGTTGTCTATGGAGCAGGATCTGCGATGTCTGGCCTAACATAGGAAAGGGTCTGGCAGGATGCAGAGGAACCAGAGCCTTCTTTCCTGGGGACCTCAAGTCTACAGCCGTGGGAGCCATGAGTCACAAACCCAAACTGCAACTCACTGGCTAGACCAATTTATCAGGGTTTCTCTACTGATCCAAGATAATAAATTTAGCAAAAAAAAAAATTTTTTTTGAGCACCCACTTTGTTAGGTGTAGGGAATTTACAGGAGTCATGGATGAGAGGAGACTGTCTTTAGGGAGTTGATCATACAGCTGGAGACACCAAGACAAGGGGGTAAGATCTAGAGGTCTAAACTGATAATAATAGTAAGAATGATAGTAATAATGCTAGTTATTATTTAGTACATGCCAAATACCATGATAAGCACTTTACATCTATTAATTTAACCCTTAAACTCTACTGTGTGGTAGGTACTACCATCTTATAGATGGGAAAGCTGAGGCACCGAGTGGTCAACAGGTGGTCAGTTAATTACCCAAGCCTGCACAGCCACTGAGTGGCTGTTTGAGTCCTGGAATGGGCCTCTGACACCACACTCTGCCCCTGATACCTTTTCCTGAAGAAGAGGCTCATCCCTGATCTGATCTCCCTTTGCCACTGCCTTCTTCCCTTCCCTGGTGCCAGAATGAGGTGCAGAACATCAAGTTCAACAGTTCGGGTCAGTGTGAAGCGCCCTTGGTGCGAACAGACAACCCCAAGAGCTGGTACGAGGATGTTGAGGGCTGCGGGATCCAGTGTCAGAATCCACTGTTCACCGAGGCCGAGCACCAGGACATGCACAGCTACATTGCAGCCTTTGGTGCTGTCACCGGCCTCTGCACGCTCTTCACCCTGGTCAGTCACAAGGGAGGACAGGTCATGCTTTGAGTACAGGTGTTCCCTCCTCCTGGAAACAGGAAAGGAGCATGGGGCTGGGCTTGGGGGGGGAGGGGGCACCCCAGGGAAGGGTCATGATGGAAGAGCCTGGGGTTTAGATAAGGGTGTCCGTGGCAGCAGAACAACCCTCACCTGGCAGAACGGCCACTCTCTTCCAGGCCACCTTTGTGGCTGACTGGCGGAACTCCAATCGCTACCCTGCAGTGATTCTCTTCTACGTCAATGCATGCTTTTTTGTGGGCAGCATTGGCTGGCTGGCCCAGTTCATGGACGGTGCCCGCCGGGAGATCGTGTGCAGAGCAGATGGCACCATGAGGCTAGGGGAGCCCACGTAAGTGTCTTGAGGACCCAGAGGTGAGGACGATGGAGGAAAACTGTAGTGGGCACTTCCCACAGAAGGGATAGGTTATACCTGAAAGCAGGATTTCAGGGAAGGATTCATCTGGGTTTGGATTCCCCTTGTTGAGCCTTGGCTTCTGCCTCAAAACCTGGATTTAAAGCAGTATCTTCTAGAACCCCTTCATGTGACCTGGGTCCTGTCCCCAAGCCCAGGGACCCTCCAGACCTTAGCAGCCCAGGATTTGGGGACAGGGTGGAGAGATTTGGTAGAGGGAGTACAGACTGACCTTCCCATGTTACACCCACATATTTGCACAGCTCCAATGAGACCCTGTCCTGCGTCATCATTTTTGTCATCGTGTATTATGCCCTGATGGCTGGTGTGGTCTGGTTTGTGGTCCTCACCTATGCCTGGCACACTTCCTTCAAAGCCCTGGGCACCACCTACCAGCCACTCTCAGGCAAGACCTCCTACTTCCATCTGCTCACGTGGTCACTCCCCTTTGTCCTCACCGTGGCAATCCTCGCTGTGGCCCAGGTATAGTGACTGGCGGGGGCTGGCGACCTGAGTGGGATAGTCTTGTGGGAGGGACCAGCAACTGAAGGTCCCTCCCACACTTTCCTGCTGCAGGTGGATGGGGACTCCGTGAGCGGCATCTGTTTTGTGGGCTACAAGAACTACCATTACCGGGCTGGCTTCGTCCTGGCCCCAATTGGCCTGGTGCTCATTGTGGGAGGCTACTTCCTCATCCGAGGTGAGTGAGGACTAGGCCAAGGCCAGTGGGACCACACGTGTGCCGAAAGCCTGCTTTGTGGAAGTAGGAACAAGGGTCACCAGCTCTGCTACCTGCACACTGAGACTGCAGCTAGCTCATCCCAGTCCTTGGTGCAGTGTAGAAGAAGGTGACCTTTAGACAGGTACAGTACCATGAGCTCTTGCTATGTGGCAGTGCCTTTGTATTGTCCAGAAAAATGTACCCCTTCCTCTAGAGCCCTGACCAGGCTTATTGAGTGGAACTGAGACTGCAGTCCAGCCCCTGCCTCCCCTTGGCAGGGTACAGTTATGTGATGACCAGCCTGGGTAACCCACTCTGCCCACGTGGATCCACCTGTGGCCCTTGGTTGTGCGTGCTGTCTTTAATTTTATACTGTCAGTCTTTTGGAGTTTGGTTTCCATCTCCTTCCTACCCCAACGCACACATAGTTTTCACAACATGCACAGATTTACTCGTCCCTAACTTCCCTGTCTCAATCTGCCACCCCACATTGAGCTTCCGTATCTGGCTTATTTTCGTTGGGTTTTGTCAGTTTCAGTTTCCTCCCACTGAACAGTCAGCCTTCTGTTCCTCCTCTTTCCTCCCTTTCTGGCAGTGTCTGTGCCTCTGATTTATGTCTCATATCTGTGCTGTCCTGTACAGTAGCCACTAGCCACCTGCATTGCCGCTAGTCCAGATTGAGATGTGTTATAAGTGTAAAATACACACTGCCTTTCAAAGAAAAGGCACCAAAAAGGGGGAAAATATCTGTTAATGATTTGTTATGTGGATTATATATTGGTGCGATTACATTTTGGATATATTACATTTATAAAACACATTGAAATTAGTTTTTTTTTTTTTTAATATACTTACTAGAAATTTTAAGATTATATGTGTGTCCCACAGCATTTTCTCTCCAACAGTGCTGCTCTTTTCTAGTTGTAGATAGACACAATATCTTTATTTTTCTGTGGTTCTGAGGATTAAACCCAGTGCCTCACACATGCAGGGCAAGCACTGTACCACTGAGCCACACCCCAGCCCAACGGTGCTGTTCTTGAGTTGGTTTTACGCCTTTTCCATCAGAAAACTTTGACCTGGCTGCTTTCCTTAGGAGCAGTGGGGTCAGGACAGGGGCTCCCTCTTTCTCTCTGGATGCTGCCGCTGTGTCATTCCAGCCCATAGCAGAATTGCTATTAGCTGTTCTCCCGTTCTCCAGTGTCTCCAGTCCTCCAAGCTTTAAGTCAGCACAGGTGTAATCAGACCCAGGACTCTGGGGCCCTGGGACCCTCCCCTATATTCCTGTCCTTCTCAGGAGAGTGGCCTCACTCTGCTAACCCATGAGGTCCCTGTTCTGTTCAGGAGTCATGACTCTGTTCTCCATCAAGAGCAACCACCCGGGGCTGCTGAGTGAGAAGGCTGCCAGCAAGATCAACGAGACCATGCTGCGCCTGGGTGAGTGGCTGAGGTCTGAAGTTCTGGGCAGCCCAACACTGTACCCTCCTGGGGCTCAGGAGCCTCCAGGGTGCAATAATGCAGTGGGGACAAGTTAGCAGCCATGGGACAAGGACAAGGTATGTGTGTGTAGGTGGTGGTACTGGTGGCAGCTTGAAAGAAGAGGGCCTTCTCAGATGGGAGAAGCAAGTTGAGTCAAGACAGCTCCATGTCCCCACTTCTCCCATGGGAGCCTTCCAACATTTGCCTCACAGGTCCTTCTTGCTTTATTTTGGAGAATACCCTTCTTGACCTGAGCCCAGTATGAACTCACCCCATCCTCTATTGCTCATTAGGGCAGACACACTCCCCCATACTGCTCCAGTGTCTGACCGGTAACGTCCCATTATGTCCCTGTCCTCTACAGGCATTTTTGGCTTCCTGGCCTTTGGCTTTGTGCTCATCACTTTCAGCTGCCACTTCTACGACTTCTTTAACCAGGCTGAGTGGGAGCGCAGCTTCCGGGACTATGTGCTGTGAGTGTGGGGACTGGGTTTGGAGGTGGCAGTGGTGGGAGCTGGAGCCCTGGCTGTAAGGACAGCATCCCCTTTGCTGTGCAGCAGGAGTCTGCCAGGTCCCTCAACAGATGAGGCTAATAGTGTCTGGGCCCCCAAGACATTAGCTGCTCTGTGCTGTGCCAGACCTGGGAAAGAGCCTTCAAGTGCCTGTTCAACTCTGCCCTTCTACATGCACCCCTTGGCTGGCTGATGGGATGGTGTGTTTGTAACTGTTAGGAAGCCTTTTCAAGCCAGGTGCAGTGGTGCACACCTGTAATCCCAGCAGCAACGGAGGCTGAGGCAGGAGGATTGCGAGTTCAAAGCCAGCCTCAGCAAAAGCAAGACGCTAAACAACTCAGTGAAACCCTGTCTCTAAATAAAATACAGAATAGGGCTGGGGATGTGGCTCAGTGGTCATGTGCCCCTGAGTTCAATCCCCGGTACCAAAAAAATAAAAATAAAAAAGAAGGCTTTTCATCCTTTGCTTTCTTTGACCAACTCAAGGTTGTACCTTCTACAGCTTTCTCCATAGATCCCTGCACAGGAGTAGATACCTGTCTATGAAAGGTTAACAACCTGTTCCGGTTTGCTAGTTGTACCTGTGCTTTTTTGTGTATGAATGAGGATGATTAGGAGAGAGTGAGTCATCTCAACTTCCTCAAGTGCAGCACCTGCCATTATAAGGAGCAACAGTTAAAATGCCCATTAAAGTGGACATTTGTCTGGACTGCTTCAGGCTCATTTTTAAAGGTTCCAGCTTCTAGCCTGGGAAGTTTCAACTGTGAGGGACTGGGGATGTAGCTCAGTGATAGAGCACTCATGAGTGAGTCCCTGGGTTTGATTCCCAGTCCCCAAACAAAACCACCCAAGAGTACTATGAGAATTGTACTCTTTCCAAAGTCTTTGGATTGATAGTCTGGATCCCTACCCATTGGACTCAGAAAGACTCAACTGTCAACCATCCCTCACCACAGGTGCCAGGCCAATGTGACCATTGGGCTGCCTACCAAGAAACCCATTCCTGACTGTGAGATCAAGAATCGCCCCAGCCTCCTGGTGGAGAAGATCAACCTGTTTGCCATGTTTGGCACTGGTATCGCCATGAGCACCTGGGTCTGGACCAAGGCCACACTTCTCATCTGGAGGCGCACCTGGTGCAGGTGGGATCAGCAGCCAGCTCATCCTGTCCCTCCTGTCTTAATTGCAGCCTCAGGTCCCCACCTTTAGGCTTTGTCTAGTTCTTCCTGCACACGGTCTTGGACAGCTGTGTTTTCCAAAACAGGGCACTGAGCTGCCTGAGGTCCTCTTCTCAGTGGCTATCCACCGCCCCCTGGTGGCGCCGCCTGTCCTTGGGCGACCTGAGGTATGAGTGTGGACCAAATACTGAGCCAGTGGGCAGCATTTGGTGAAAGTTGATGACTTGACAGCAGGGTACACAGGAGCCTTGTGTTCTAGGTTCACTTATTTGCAGGGAAGGTCTCTACTCCTTAGAGTCTTTGAGGCATTTAAGACTCTCAGAACTTCCTAACCTAGAGGGAATGGGACGCTATCTTTCACAAGATTTGGTGGTGAGTGGCCGCTCCTCCACTCCCCTCTCCACACTTTCTCAGGTTGACTGGGCAGGGTGATGATGAGCCCAAACGGATCAAGAAGAGCAAGATGATTGCCAAGGCCTTCTCTAAGCGGCGGGAGCTGCTGCAGAATCCAGGCCAGGAGCTGTCCTTCAGCATGCACACTGTCTCCCATGATGGGCCTGTGGGTGAGCCTGGCCCTGTCCTCCCTCGAGCCACTTAACCTCGAGTGCCCAGCTGCCTCCCCTCCCAGGACACTGGATGTTTGGCAGACTGTTCTTCCTTCTCCCACTCACACACTCATTCTTTTCTAGTCCACCTCACCTCTCTGAAGGCCTCTCTTTCTCCTCTGTTCCTGTTCATGGTCTGTGAGGGTTCCCCTCTCTCCCCCTTCTTCTTCTTCTTCTTCTTCTTTTTTTTTTTTTTTTTTTTTGGTACTGGGGATTGAAATCAGGGGCACTCCCACTGAGCCACATCCCCAGCCCTGTTTTGTATTTTATTTAGAGACAGGGTCTCACTGAGTTGCTTAGCACCTCACTTTTGCTGAGACTGGCTTTGAACTCGTGATCCTCCTGCCTCAGCCTCCTGAACCACCCAGGATTACAGGCGTGTGCCACCACACAGGGCTCTCTCCCCATTCTCTTCCTTTTCCATTTGCTCTCTGGGCCAGAGTAAGCCAGGGTTCTAAGACTAGATTTCTGACTGTTGTTTAAGCCCTTTGGGGACTTGAAGCTGCTCCCCTCAGATTCTGAATGCATAGATCTCTGTGGTTATAGACCTTTCTCTGACAACTGGAGGGGGAGGGACTAACTCAGCGGAATGGTGCTAGATAAGGAAGGCGCCACTGAGAGGGACTGGGAAGTCACTATTCCATCTTTCTTTCCATCTCCAAAGCGGGTTTGGCCTTTGACCTCAATGAACCCTCAGCTGATGTCTCCTCTGCCTGGGCCCAGCATGTCACCAAGATGGTGGCTAGGAGAGGAGCCATACTGCCCCAGGACGTGTCTGTCACTCCTGTGGCGACTCCAGGTATGAGAGTTTAGGCTTCTGTAGGGAGGTGGTGGGCATAGATGCTGGGACTGGAATACCAGGCACTACTACCAGAGGGGGAGGAGGAAGGAAAGGTCCCAGAGGATCTGAAGTCAAGGCACTGGAAGTCCAGAGCTCAAGAATAGGGGTGCTGGGAGCTAGGGGTATAGGTAGAACACTCAATGATAAAGTGCTTGCCTAGCATGTGCAAAGCCCTTGTTCAATCCCCAGCACCACACACACACACATGCGCACAGAGAATAGGGATGCTGGGGAGGGAAGGGTGTTGAGGACAAAGCCAGGGCCCCAGGCAGTGTTCTCTCTCCTGACAGTACCCCCAGAAGAACAAGCCAACCTGTGGCTAGTTGAGGCAGAGATCTCTCCAGAGCTGGAGAAGCGCCTGGGCCGGAAGAAGAAGCGAAGGAAGAGGAAGAAGGAGGTGTGCCCCCTGGCACCAGCCCCTGAGCTTCATCATCCTGCCCCTGCCCCTGCCACCAGTGCTGTTCCTCGGCTGCCTCAGCTCCCCCGACAAAAATGCCTGGTGGCTTCAGGAGCCTGGGGATCTGGGGAATCCTGCCGACAGGGAGCCTGGACCTTCGTCTCCAACCCCTTCTGCCCAGAGCCCAGTGTCCGTCAGGATACATTTCTCCCCAGTGTTCCAGCCCCCACGGCCTGGGCTCAGGGCTGCCGCCAGGGTCTGGGGCCCATTCACTCTCGCACAAACCTGATGGAGGCAGAGCTCATGGATGCAGACTCGGATTTCTGAGCCTGCAGAGCAGGGACAGGAAAAAGGAAAAAATACTGTTCCAAGGCTCTTCTTCCTCTCTGAGAGCGCTTCCCTGGATCTCATCTTCCAGAGAAACTATGGGCCAAGTGCCCTCCCAGGAGAGTTCTGTATGTTTGGCTTAAAGCAGCAGGACTGTGGGAAAGAGCCAGACTTCTCCATGGGTAGGTCTCACCCCAAGGGCAGGGCCCTGGAGCTCAGGGTCTTTATTTCTGTCCCACCAGCTGGAGTCTGGCAGCAATAGTCTCCAGCAGAGCTTGTGGTAGGGCAATAATGGCAGAGGCAGGGGTGACAGTTCTCAGAGTAGATTGTGGTGGCTAGGGAGGCAGCCATGTCCTGTCTTCCAGATGGGGGCTGGCTGCACTTTTCTGTGCCAACAGGTGCCCTTTCCTGGCACTCTCAGACAAAAAGTGTTTATTGTGTCATTTGTCCTTTGCCTAAGTGGGAACAGGGCTCCCTTCTTCATTTAAAGTGGTCGTGAGGCCAGAAGTGCTTACTGCCACACGGGCCTCTCTAAACAGGTAGCCCTACCCCAAACCCACTTTCTCTTCTGCATCCTCCTTTCCCCATCTCATCTCATTTCTACCAGGCCAGACTCTTCCGGCTTCCTATTTGTTGATTAGGACCCAGAACTGCAAGCACGTGTGAAAACACACACACACACACACACACACACACACACACACACACACACATTGAGCTCTATCTCTTGGTGAGAGATTGATCCAGCTGTAGAGCCTTGGCCTGGTAAGGAGTGACTTGGAGCCTCTGGGCCCCTGAGAGACATGTTATGTCTTCTTCATGACCATCCAGTGGGGATGGATCCTTTGACTTGAGGGGCTATCCTGGGAAGCTGCCTTCAGCCAGGCAGGAAAGCTTCTTTCAATTTCCACAACTGGTGGGGTAGGAGATTCCCACCTTTCATAACCTCCAACCATGTCCCCAGCACCCCATATTCAAGACCCAGTAGCTGGAAACCTTAGAAGTTGGCTGGGTTTTAGGTTGGGGGATAGAGATGGGAAGAAGAAATATGAAAAATAAATAAAATGTTTTTGTATAAACTCCAGTGTGTTTATTTTCCTTAGCCCTAGTTTTGTCCTATTTACCCAGTCCTGATCACTTGTCTTCCACGTTCCTCCTAAGGCTCTTCTGAAAGGCCAAGAGCTTGGGGCTGATGAGATCAAGACTGACAGCCAGAGGTTGAGCTATGTCAGCTTAATGTGTCCTCCCTGGCTAATTGATTCTCTATGAACAAAAGCTCCTTGATGTCCACAGCTAGTTCATTGAGTACTAAGCATAAGATAATCGAGCACAAGCATGCCGCTCAGCCCTGGAATGAAGATAGGAAGCAAGCATCCCCTGGGGTCTACCTCAGAACCTCATGCCATCTGCCAGGGGATGTCAGTTTTGCCGGTGCATTCTAATCCAAGATGCCTCCCTGGGTCAAAGTCATGGAAGCCCATTAGTCTCACTTCCTCCAAATAACGTCAATAGAAGACTCAACTGAGTTACAAGGATTGTGTTAGGGAGATCTGCAGAGAATCCACAGACTTGGAAGGATATTGTGGAGTGTATTTTATGTAGTACCCTTTCCTAACTGGTGCTCATGTGATAGGGACTTGTGTTTTGACCAGAATCAGATTCCAGTGGGGGAGGAAAGGGTACTACCAATATACTGATTTTACCCTAGTTATTTAATTTTTTGCAGGACTAGAGAGCATCAGGGATGCTCTACCACTGAGCTATCTATATCCCAACTGTTTTTATTTTTATTTTGAGGCAGAGTCTTGCCAAATGCCTAGGCTGGCCTTGAATATGTGATCTGCCTCAGCCTGAGTAGCTGGGATTACGGGGGTGCCTCACAGTGCCCAGCTCTATCCTAGGCACTTTATATGTGTTCATTATACCAATAATAGCTAACTCTTACTGAATGCTGGCTAGGAGCTCTTCGGAGATTGAGTGAGATAATGCTTATAAGTTTCTTGGAAGGGCACCTAGCCAGTAATTAGTAATGCTGGGATCCAAGCAGAGTGCTCTGGCTCCAGTAGCTCTTAGTGACCGTGGTAATGATCCAATCAGAAGAGCTAGTTTTATGGGGAAAAAAAAAAAAAAAAAAAAAAAGCTCAGTGAAACAAAATAACATGCACACAACCTAGTAGCTAGTAAGACCCCAGGGTCTTCCTGATCCTGAAGTCCAGGCTCTTTTCACTCTCAGTTCTGACCTTTTATCTTTCTTCCTACTCAGATTTCCCATTTTGTGTTCCTCCTAGCTACCCCATACCCCCTTGAGCTTGCTCATCTTGTTCATTCTTGCTGCTACTGTTTCTCTCAACAGTATTATAGCTATTTTTAAGCCTTTATCCACAACAGTATTATATTTCTTCTTTTTGTCTCCATGAACATTCAACTACTTGTTTCCGTGCCTCTGTCCTTTCTTTAGGAGGATTACTTGCGTAAAAGATGAGGGATGGAGTTCAATCTGGGTCTTAAAAAGCTGAGAAATGTTACCTCAGTGTGGCTGCAAAGGCAGACTATGACCACTAGGGTTCAGTGCGATCCCACCTTTTATCAATGCAGGCACTGGGCTGCTGCTGAATGTCCAAGACCATGAAAACCTCACAACCAAGAAGATAGGAGCATCAGATTGCAGAACCGAGCCATAGTGCCACCCTTTAACCAAACTCCAGAATTAGAATTAGATTCTTGAAGAAACACCACAGGATCTAAAAAGAGCCTGATTTGGGGATTCTGTTGCTACAGCCCTGAGATTCACCTTTTGGAGACTGCCCTCAGCCGCTCGCTTGGGCTTTGCTACTTTCTCAAAGCAGGGTGTCCAGTCCCCCAAGTACTGAAGTCTGCCCATAGTCCTAGCAAGCAAAGTGTAACAGAATTGGTAAACTCCCTTTTAACCATCCCCAACAACTGCCCACTTTCCCACTTCTTGAAAGGAAAACAACTGTTTGTGTTTCTTGGGCTTCCTTCTAATCCATTTTTATACTTTCTTATATGTATATGAAGCTATGTACCTATAAACAATTTACATACTGCTTTTTTTTTTCTGTGTATGTATGGGGTGCTGGGGATTGAATCCAGAGATGCTCTACTACTGAGTTACACCCCCAGACTTTTTTATTTTGAAACAGAGTTTTGCTAAGTTGCTGAGGCTGAACTCAAACTTGTGACCCTTCTGCCTTAGCCTCTTGAGTCACTGGGATTACAGGTGTATTCCACCACACCAAGATTTTAATTTAATCTAAATTACACATGATATACTTTGAAAAGTCAAATAGGTGGGGCTGGGGTTGTGGCTCAGCAGTAGAGCGCTCTCACCTAGCACATGTGAGGCCCTGGGTTGGATCCTCAGCAAGAGGGTAATTAAATAAATAAACAAACAAAATAAAGATATTGGGCCCAACTACAACTAAAATATAAATATTTAAAAAAAGGTAAAATAGTTGTACAAGCTTCTTCCCCCTATCCCATTTTGGGGTTTGAACCCAGGGGAGCTTTATCACTGAGCTATGCCCCCAGCCCTGTTTCACAAGTGTTGTTACTTAAAGCACCTGTCTTGTTATTCCATCCTACCACCTACCTCATTATTTCTTGTCCTGGGAGCCAATTACTTTATTTTAGATGATCCTTATGGTGCTCATTTCTGTCTGAATAACATGATTATAATGCTACCTCTTGGATGTTTTAGGCATTATCGTTTGATTTCCTCATATAGAGTTAAGGATTTAGCTTTTTCTCCCTCTTTGCCTATAAGGAGGAAAAAGAGAGGTGGAGGTTAGGAGAGGAGCCAGTAGTAATAGTTTTGAAAACTGGATAGCAAATGAGTGCTCATTTAGTAGACTTGAAAAAGCTGAAGTTTGCCAGACACAGTGGTGCATGCCTAAAATCCCAGCTACTTGGGAGGTTGTGGCAGGAGGATCACAAGTTTGAGGCCAGCCTTAGCAATTTAATGATATTATGTCTAAAAAATAAATAAAATTAAAAAACGGCTGGGGAATATAGCTCAGTAATGGACTGCCCTACTTCTTCCATGTCCCAGCCCCCGGTTGAATCCCCAGTACTGCCCCAAACAAACAAATCCTTTGTTTTAGCTAGTAGCAGGGGGAAGCTTCTATTGTAGGATCCCCAGAAGGCTCTGTATTGGAGGCAGCTGGCACTTGATAAGGTAGAGTCTAAAGCAGGATTGAAGCAGGATTGATCCTGTACTCAGCCACACAGTTAGATGACTACCCTTGCCAACTTTGGATAATTGAAACCTTTATTCTCTGGAGAAGGCAAACATAGGGTCTGCAGTATTTGGAGTTATAATCTTATAGCCTCCAGAATTAACTTGAAGAAGTTCAATCTTTCTGACTCTACCTTTTAAAAAATTTTAGTCCCCGGTTCCAGTCCAGATTTTTGAAAGATCTTCCCAGAATTTTGAAATTGTACAATGATGCATATTAAAATAAAATTTCCCCCGGTACTAGAGATTGAACCCATGGGGCACTCTACCTCTAAGCTACACCCCCAACTCTTTTTATTTTGGGACAGGGTCTCTCTAAGTTGCCCAGGCTGGCCTCACACCTCTGATCCTCAATCTCTAAGAAGTTTCTGGGTAGGTCTATTTTCATCCGTTGGGTTGGGCACCTAATGGGGTCTTTTTTTTTTTTTTAATATATACACTTTTTAGTTGTAGATGGACACAATACTTTTTTTATGTGGTTCTGAGGATCAAACCCAATGCCTTACGTGGGAGGTAAGGGCTCTACTGCTGAGCCACAACCCCAGCCCCCTAATGTTGTCTTTTATTCTGGAAATTCCCATCTTCATTTCTAGGAAATGTTTTGAATTTTCCCCTTTTCTTCTGACACTTGTATTATTTAGATATTAGACTTTTAGGACTGGCATTCTAATTTACTGTCTTTACCATTTAAAAAAATTCATTTATTTATTATTTATTTATATATTGTGTTACTGGTGATCAAACCCAAGGCTTTGAGAGCATGCTAGTCTCTCAGAGCTCTCTACCCCTGAGTATACCTCCAATTTTTTGAAATTTAAAGAAAAAAATTTATTGAAGATCTGAAAAACAATTCCTAAAAGATTGCCTTTTTCAGTAAACTAGCTATTGAAGTCAAAATGTATATATGAATAACAAAAATTATGAAATAAGCCACCACTCTTCAACAATCTGAGCAAAAATGCATCTTTCCTTTTAATATTTTTAATTTTAATATTTTTTGAGTTTAAAAAATTCTGCCAGCACGTTTTCATTTTAAAGCTGTCATTTGTTTTTTGAATGTTCATTCCTTGAAACAGTATGTTCTTTCACTAATACAATATTGTAAGCTCCAAGGATATTAGTGATTTTTCTTGTTTAAATCTTGCTTTCTTTCCTTTGTGTATGCATGATGCTAGGGATAGAACCCAGAGCCTTGCATGAGCCAGATAAGCACTGTACCACTAAGCTACACCCCCCAGCCCTTTATCTTGCTTTCTTCTTAATATATAGCCCATTTTCTCAAGTTTTTTATTTGTTTTGCTTGCCTATGTTGGTCTCTTTCATATTAAGGGTTTTCTTCATATGTCTGATGGCTTTGACTGCTCATACTCAGGAATGTGACATTAAATGGTTCACAGAA